GAAGGCCTCCACCTGGCCTGGCCGGAGCCCAGGTGCTGGGGCTCACCGCGGCCACCGCGCTCCACCTACACCCACCTTGACCTTCAGCCTCCACTGCCAGGGAGAGGGAGGAGGAGGTCTTCTGACACTTGGCAGGAGATTGTTTTTCAGGTCTTCACTCGTTTATAATGAATGCTCAGTATCCCTTCTTTCCTACATCATCCCCCCCCACCAAAAAATAATAATAATTGTGGAAGTGTTAGAGCCTTACTGCAAACTATAAAACTGATCGTGACCATCAATATAGACCTTTAAACCAATCTTCTGAAAAACTTTATGCACTAGAAGTTCTTAAAAGATAATGTTTCAAGAAAGTAAAAGCATGACTCACAGAAATAGAAAATCAAGATGTGTCAAAAATGTTATTTGACTCATTAATGAGGGAGGGGACCAGGAAAATATTGCAACACATTCAAATGAGAATGTGAGGAACAGGCCTTTATGGACAATCAGGGGAAAGGCAACACCGGTTAATATGGTCTAAGATACTAAAATATAAGGTTTTGAATGATCTGTTCCACAGGCAGTAATCAACTGTTTCTAAGGAACAAAAGAATTCGCCTTATCTATAGATAAGAACTGTTTACATGACCATAAATTTCTAAAGTTTATAGATTATAGCCTAGCCAAAGGCAGTCCAAGGTGCAGCCTACTGAAAAACCACGCAATCCCTACATTCCTGCAGATAACATCCAGCATTCCATTGAAAGGACATCCAGTAATCTTTCGCCCATTTCAAAGTCTTACACAGGTTTTCCCAACAGAATTGTTATCTGTATGTATTTTTCAGGTAGGAAAACTGAGGTTAGGTTTTGTAACTTACCCACAGCTTCATCCGCTAGTAAGGGATTATGGCTGATTAGGAACTCCAGCAAATATGCCACATCTACACTCTGGGAGCAAAATCTTTTCTCCCATACTTAATTTTAAAAAGGGCTTTGTAGCTAATCTACGTATCTTTTATTTTGAACAGTGAATTTTTTTTCTTCAAGTCTCACCAGATTCTGGGTGCTTTCCCGAGAAATTGGCATTCTCTGTCTACAAAGTAGATGTGACTTCTGTAAGTATAAACAGATGTAACAGGCAACGTGAGGGGGCTGTGGTTCTAGTCTCCACTTTTGGAAAGAACACTTGTGCTGTCTGGGTAATTTAATGGAAAAGTTCTTGTCATTTATTTGCAGTATGGAAACCATGATTTTTAGGAAAAATAACCTAAATAAATGCAGGAACCTAATTACTGAATTCTGTCAATAGAAGAGGGGGCAGAGTTGGTAATAAAATCAGTCTTACACCTCTTTGCAAAAAAAAAAGATGATTCACACAGAAAAGCAGACTAAAGAATGTGACTGCTTTGTGTTTCTTTTCTTTTTTTTTCTTTTTTTAATGTGAACCTTCTAGAAAAAGTCATCCTGAAGGAATCAATGACGGAGTTTTAAAAATGTAATGCTGATCATTTAAGATTCATAGATTGGCAAAAAATCTACTTTCCACTTCTAACATTTATCTGAATGTTTGAAGCTCTACTAGGCCAGTAGTAATCCAATACATGATACTATTTACCTTTAAATTAATTAAATTTAAATACAAGTAAAGACAGTTTCTAATTACCATTAGCCGTGTTTGAAGGACTCATAAGCTACATGTGGCTAGTGGCTACCCTATTAGAACTGTGGATACAGAACAGTTCCATCACAGAAATTTCTTTTGGACTGTCCTAGACAGCATTTGCACTTCTATAAATTAGAAAAGGTATAGTGACTTAATACAAGTTAAAAATCAGTTCTATAATATGTCATTAATGTATTTGAGATTCAAGGTCAGACATTTTGCATGTTCCAATGGAAAGGAGTGGGGCAGTGTTAAGGCATGTAAAGTGAAGTTTTGTACTGACATGCAAGGCATCCAGCTGCAATGTGCTTGGGGGAGGGGGTTGATGTTCATATATGATTTCTTTCATAAATTATGTAAAATATTTTGGACTGTTATTCTGATTTCCTTCCTAGCCAATAATATCATGATTAGTAAGAATGGACCATAAGATTAGTTGATAAAAAGTGCAAAATGTATCCTACACTATTTTAGGGGAGTTCTAAATGTATTTTTTAAGTTTTTCATAGCAGGTATTCTAAGTAACTATTCAAATAATTAAATTTTTGGGTGTAAGTGAAATATTGGCTGCAGCTGTGAAAGCTTAAATCAAGCCTGAATCAAATTTTAACAGTAAGGGAAATTGATTAAGCTGAGTCAGCAGACTGCCTATCCACTCCTAATTTTATAGCAGGAGGCACCTGGCTGATTTTTTATTAATAGAATTACATTTTTTAAAAAAAAAGAATAAACAAACTTAAGGACTCTAGAATCATTTCTTTATGGAGTAGGCAAAGCAATGAAAGAGCAATCTCTACAGGTAATTTTACACAAAACTTCAGCATAAAAGAATATTTTACTTATACTACTTTTTTATTTTTACCAATATTTATCAGAAAAACTTGTTGATGGTCATAAGGCATTTTCTCCAAAAGTTTAGCTATAACTGCTTATTTTACATTTGTCAATATCAGAGAGCTTTGTTGCCCTCAGATCAGCCTGGTTTTGTGATACAGCTATAAAATTAAGCTTAAGTCAATAAATGGATTTTGTAATCTAGAAGGTATCATTTCTGCCCAAATAAATTGATAATGGGCCAGCATGACTTTCTACCTGCATTCATAGCTTGGCCGTGCCATTGAAAATGTATACAGTCATCTTAGTCTATTTCTTGTTCTACAACACATCCAGCATCTT